AGATCCTATAGACCCTATAGATGCTGTAGATACTATAGATCCTATAGATGCTTTAGATACTGTAGATCCTATAGATGCTTTAGATACTGTAGATATTATAGATTCTGTAGATACTATAGACCCTATCGATACTGTAGATACTATAGACGTACCCTATAGATACTGTAGATCCTATATATATGATATCAAAGAGGCAAGATTTTGCTGTGACAGTATTAATACTGTCTGATGAGTGCGTAGCACGAAACACGGAGTCACTGCAAAATCTTGCCTCTTTGATATCATATTATATAACTAGCTCTACACTTTATGTGTATTGAGCACTCTTTAAGGTGTTTCGATCGTAATAAATAGCGTTTCGCGCGTATTTTTAAACTCCAACTACGTCGCAAATTTCGATTCCATTGCATTCAAATTTTCACAGAAGTAACAGTGATTATCGATAATTCTTTTTGATAAGTTAATTTGCCAAAAAGTGAAGCCATTTGGATAAACGATGCAAAATATAAACACCTTCATTTTTCTTCAAAATTAATTTTCTCGAAACTCGTCGCAGAGATTGTAATAAAATTTTCAGAATCATTTCTTAATAACATAATTGATCTAACCAAGTTTCAATAAAATCTTAACCTAAAATTTCGAGTCGTTCGAATGTACATCATTTTGCTCATGACAAACAACTCGAAATTTTAGGTTAAGATTTTATTGAAACTTCGTCAGTAGATCAATTATGTTCAAAGTTCGCAGAAATCGAATGATCTACATGCAATAAAAATCGACATAACAATTTTTAACTTTGAGCTTGAGTTTTCTTTGAAAAAGCCTGCTCCGTGTATTACGAGATCATATTTTAAGTTGCACTTGACATAATTCATCTAAAATTTTCACACACATTTGTAATACTACTAATAACAAGGTTCAGAAATATTTTAGAGAAAATAGGGCTGGTTTGCGAAATATTCAAGTTTAAGTGTTTTCCAGGATTTCCCCATAAGTTGAATAAATTATACTCGATTTTCATGAAATCTATATATAACATATTTTGGTTTTTTATCCTTCATTTGACAAAATATTGACCGGATCAAAGCAAAATAAACTGCATTTCGATGTGTTTCTTTCGTAATGGTCGGTACTAAAAACAACTGTCCCCAGATACCTTAAGCCTGAGATTTTTGAAACACTTGAAAATGATATTGCGGAATTTTCATCAAAAGGTCATATTGTTTTAATGGGAGATTTTAATGAGCGAACAGGACAAGAAGATGATATTGCAYGCAACAAAGGAAATTAATCTTTCATACAAACTAATTTTGATATTGAAGTTTTAGCGATACCCAAAAGGAATAATTTTGATTCTGTTGTAAACTCTCATGGAAGACATTTATTAGAAATCTTTAAAGGCTGATTTACACAGTACGATTTGTTGCGTACGACTTGTAGTATACGATTTTCCTACTACAAGTCGAAGGATTTTTTAGCAGTAGTTCAAAATCCTACTACAAGTCGTAGGTTGCGTACGACTGTTGTAGACAAGTCTTAGGGGCATTTACACTGCGCGATTCAAGTCGTATACTACAAATCGCACGAGACAATCGTGCCGTGTAAATCAGCCTCAAGTCGTTTAATTTGAGAATTTTGAATGGAAGAATAAGTGGAGACTCCCTGGGTCGTCCAACATATCATGGAAAAAAA